ATATCTGTTTGGTAAGTTTCAATGTGTAAAGTTGTAGCGCTCAGTAAATGATAATTAGTTGTTTGCCTTTAATGACTGGTATAATGGAAGTTATTTGTATCGTAAACTGTAAATATAAAGCTGCCAAGGGTAATTTGAAAAAAAGGAAACTAGTTAATTTAACGATAGATAAAGACATGTAACGTAACTTAGAAAATGACTTTAATTAGTTGCACTAAAAAGGAAAAGAAAAAAAACAAGAACTGAGTTTACTTTGTGATTAATACTTACATCATATCCAACCGGTAACTGTCATCCCATGCGAAGATCTGTTACGATCAAATACAGCAGTTATCGTAGAATAAGTGAAATAGAATATTTCTCTAGTTGCTGTCGAAACAACTGCCAAGTGCCAGTAACGCTTGGAAATTTAGATGCAACGATGTGATTTAATATCCACGGGGTACGCAAGTAATCAGCGCTGTTAGCGATGCAACCGATATGGATTACAGTTGTCAGCAGTTTTATTTTGGGTACACCTATTTGCGTCGAGGAATTGTGTGGTTCTCTAGTTTCGAAATCCCTTTGCTGCGTTGTAATGCCAACATTAATTTAGTCTCGTAGGAAACATAGTTGTCGAAATACTTGTCCATAGTACCACTGAGCTGAACTATCGGGCAAATCGAACAAAAATTGAGGGAGAAAACCGCTCAGTTAATTATCATTAAATATTTGCAAACAGTTCTATTAAGCTTACTCTTCTTATTTATTTATTTATTTTTTTTTGCAAATTTTTTCTCAGCTTCTCTCTTTTCTCCCGTCATTATTTCTCTTCCTTCCTAATCCATCATCATTCTTCCTTTAAACTCCATTCTTCACAGTTTATTCAGTGAAAAAAACGAGCATCGTTTAAAGCGTCGTCCTCTGAATGAAAAGCTTCTGAAATTCACTCAGATAATACTCTGTTTCAGATAGCATGTAGCAAGCAAAACCATAGTAAAAATCGCCACCAAGATAACTGTTGCCTGCTCTCAGCCTATAATTGAATCCAGTGCACAGTAACAGTATTAAAAATGTGCATCTTTCAAAAAGGGGTTCTTTATGACCGAACAACGCCGTCATATTTTCACTTAGGCATTGTTAAAAGTGCTATATGCCGGCAAATCTGCTGAAAAGTTTTAAAGATGACCGAAATTAACGCTGAACTGGTATGAAATACTATTGTGTGATAGAAAACGTCTAGAGAGTAGAATTTTCTATTAGAATTGTGCAAACCGGCCAATTCTCAAAAAAACAAGTTCCTCTGTTTTTCAGTCAGTCATTAGAATCCTCCTGGAAAGGTCCCAGCACATTTGCAGTAAGAAATCTGCCAGCAAATGTCGCCATAAACTGGGTGTTTTTGAGAATTCGGAGCAGAATGACGTAAAATTTTATCATTGTTAGAGGTACACTGGGTTGCTTGAAAGGTTTATGAAAAACAGATACTTGTTGCGATGGCTTCTGCTGCAAACAACTCCTAATTAAAACTATCGGCGACAGCAAATTACTGTGTGGTCAGACCTGCAGTTTATTGCCTACGCCGTGGCCTCGGGAAAACGGCAGTTTCGTGTTGCAGTCTGTCCTTCTCAATTGATAAATAAATTTGTGCGATTCTGTTGTGGTTTTATAGCAGATGTTTACTGCTAAAGTTTGAATAATTTTTTTTTCTTGAACCTAGTATGCAAGGATAAAGCATTAATAAACATGTTAACTTTTTCTTAGAGTTCTTTGTTGTATTGTTGTTTGTATGAAAGCGAGTTTGGCGTAGATCGGTATTGAATCAGACTTTTTGTACTTTGTTAGTCAATCAGTAGCAGCAGCAACAACAGCATTAACAACATATTGAGCACAGTGAGCGATACGTCCAGTGGAGCCAACCAATTTATTTTCTCTGAATACGTACCATTCGGACTTTTTTTTTTGCACTTTGCAAGTCAGAAGAAAAAAAAGTCGAATTTGTCCTGTTGATTGGGTTGGTTGATGTTGAGGATTTTCCGATTTTTTCCAGTCGCAAATATTTTTATCGTTTTTCAATTCGGCTTTTTCCCTTCTTAATTTTTTACTTTACAGAAACCATTTGATACTGTGCTCAGCATAATTATCTGCGTTATTAGTTTTACTGTTATTGTCATTGTTGGTGTTGTCGGAGTTGATATTCATATTTTAATTACAAATACTATATGCAACTGTGGGATTCTGATGTTCCGTCACTGCGTTGCCAATGTGTCCGGTATTTTGCCATTGAACATCATCGGTATTTTGCTGTGAAATCGTTGCTGCCACAGGCTTTGTTGAAAAAAATTCAAGACCTAAGAGTGGAAATTGGCATTTACATACGTATTCATCGTAAAGTTTGCGAAATTTTACCAGAACAGATCATTGTCGCTGACAATTTAACAATAGATTGGCAAAAAACTGCTGAATGTTGCTATTCACGTATAGAGGACAAAAATGCATTTGCTTTTGCGGTTGTAAATGCATTGATAAAGGTAACAGTTTTGTGGATTTTTTTCTTTTTCGAAGGTTTATACATTACGATTCGGGGCCTTCATTCTTCTCTTTTTATTTTTAATCGCAAATCGATACTTTATAGATGTATCTTCTTCTATGAGTTGTTAGTGCTTCTGTGGGTGTTTAAAACTGTTGTTTTTTTTGTTTATCAATCGGCCAATTATTTGCATAATAATTTTGAAAATGCAGTGCACGTATTTTCTAGGAGATTCCGTTGGCATGGGATCGTCTAAATAACACAGTTGGGTCAAAACGATCACTGGGTGGTTGTTCAATTGTCCGTTCAGCGGCATTGACAATGCAACAGGGTTTAACGCTGAATTTTTCTTCTCTCTCAGCTGCTCAAGATGGTTTCCCGTTGGTTTATCAACATTCTTTTTTTGAGGCATCAAAAACTCCAGATACACCGGAAGTCTGTAACAGTAAGTATTATGTCATGTATTATTTTTACAAAGCTATTCTGCATCGGCACTATCATATGGTTGACTTCATAACAGTGGATATCAATAATCCATGTTATCATCGGATGCATAAGTATTTGATGCAGAACAGTGAAGTTTTCATCGCCAATTTGGCACGTGTCCCAAGAAGATATCAAGCGAGAACATTAGTGCTGGTAAAGAAATTTTTTGCTTGGTGTCTAAATAAACAGATTATTCAGTACCGAATTTTAATAGACGATTTAAGGTTTCAAAAAAATTGTGATTTTGTGGAATCCCTTTACCGGCTTTTGCCGCGCTCATATGGCTAGAAATTTTTTTTTTTGTTTTTTTTACATTCGCCACCATTTGGTATCTCAATTATGGCCCTTTTTAATTGCATGTTGAGTTGTTTTTGCTTAGCTCAATGCTTGTTTTTTTCCCTTTTTGTTGCTCATTGTTTTACAGGTCGTTAAGGGCAGTATTTTATGCAGCTTAAATGGTTAAACCATGTTCTTAACATGACAAGTAGGGCCTGTTCTGTTAGCATTGTTGAAAGTCTTTAAGGCTGTTTTGTGAATAAGTCCCACCACCTGTCTCAAAGCTTGGATGAAAAATTTCCTTATTTTTCCAGTGTGTTTTGTTGTTATATAAGTCATTATTAGCGGGTAAAGGTTTTATTATGCAATTGTTGTCATAAATTGTTCAGCTCAAACCCTGCTGAGTAACTGCAAAAAAATAAATAAAGAAATAATTGATCGATCTCAGGTTTCTGCTAGCTCGCTTGCACTCCTAGTTGATTCCAGTGTGCTTTTTCTCCATTTGCAGGCAGGCAACTTCTGCTTCCCAGAGCATTATATATACATATATTCATTCATTCATTTATTCATTGATCTTCACTTCCCTTTATTTAAAGTAGTTTACTTTTTGATCGCACTGGCCAGTCTACGTGAACAGACATTTGGAAATAAAAATTCCATTATCTGAATTTTGTCTTCTACACCGAATGGCAAATGCTGTTTTACAGTTAATGTTTATGTGGTGAATAATTTATCATCCCGCCAAGCTACCGTTGGGGATTTAGTATATGACCCTTTTAAACGGATTTTCATCATAGTATGCCAGCCTAAACTGACCCAACTAGATGGCGATGTTCAGTCCTCAGTGGCTATCTACTGGGATACCTTATGAATGGCATGTCGTTGCAAGGGACCTGTTCCATAAAATTCAGAACTTATAATTGCTTTGAATTCGTATATTGACCTCACCTTTCCGCCAAGGCAGGACATTTTATAAAGAAGTTATTAACTTGCTTTGTTTAAGCAAAGTATTATTGAACAAGCTGAACAAAAGCTGAAGTTCCTCAACGTCAAGAGCACTGTTAAAAGCGTACTAAACAAACAGAGTTCCTGAAACTCCCCTGCTCTAACGCAGAAGTTGTGCCAATATAAGTTAGTGTATAACAAACCTTCTCCTCCTCTCTGACATTTAGGAAGAACTGAGACCGTTTGAGTCAATGGTACGTAATTATATCGATAATGTACCAAGCAACCAGTAATTGTCAAATCACATTTTACTTTCTTCAATTTATATGAAAATGATTCAAGTGAAGTTTGGATTTATAATGCAGAAAAAAGGAACAACTACTGAACAATGCTGACATTAACGGCATATCAAAAGCCTGCTGGAAAAGAGCTGGACATAACTCAAACTTTAAAAATAAATTTTGTATTTCTGAAATTCACTGGCAAAAATTCCAATGTTTATGGAAGGCAAATCACTGAGTATAATGCGATAAGGACCCGCACAGATGAAAAACGTAGAAAATATAATAAACAAACGATAGGCATTCGCATTTTCAAGTTACAGAACGAAAAAAAAGGAACAGAACAAAGTGAAAATGAAAAAAGAGGGAAAAAAAGTTAAACTTTTGATAAGTTACTGCTCCTAAAAATTAAAACATCAAAAAAGAAAATAATAATAATAATCTGAAGCTCGTGAACTTCACAGACTGAAATCTTGAGATGAGCGGTACACGCGAATACCTGGAATCAATGCTACTTCAATTTCCTATGTTTGTAATCTCATTTCGCAAAACACTTCGCCAAAGCATAAAATTCGGCTAGATAAACTACATATCTCCAACTAAACTAAGCATGCGGCAAAAAAAAAAAAAAAAAGAACGTGAAACAATACTGGCAAACTTTGATACTATATAAATCAGAAAGAAAAAACTCAAACAGAACAACTATATAGTTTGATGATGTCAATGCACACACACAAAGACACATAAATGCAAACACATATACATACACATGCAAAAAAAAAAAAAAAAAAAAAAAAAAATTAAAAAAA